TCGGTTTGATTCGGACGGCGGAGACGTTCCTTGATACCACTCTGAAAGAAGCGATTTGCTTGGAGAGTAGATCAAGGAATTTTGATCAGTTGATCGATTGATTGATTGATTTGATCAGTAGATCAGTTGATACTTTTTATTATAGTTCAGAGTATTTTGATGGTTTCAAAAGTAATTTAATTTCAGGATAGATGACTACTGACATGTTGCACTCCCAATATCTTGCTCTCGATCGCGTCCAGTCTGTCCATATCGTCCAGAAACTTCTCCAGTGACTCTCTGGTGAATGTGGATTGTCCATTGAGCAGATCCTCCGGAGCGTACCGCTGAAACTTTGACAGTTTTAACTTAAGGTAATTGTTTGATTTTTTTGATTGGAAGTTGATTTGAGAGAAAACATTGATCACTGATCACGGATCAATAGCTGATCACATCGGATCAGTGATATGGCGGACGGATTATCGAAATAAAGTTTCGGAAATAGTTCCGGAAAGGCACAAAAACACGTGAAATTGGATTGATTCTGAGTTAAACTTACAGATGTGGCACATTGGAGAAGAGCAAACAGGAGTATGGCTAGAAGGGTGGTGATCATCTTGGGGGAAGGTGATCAAGTGATGATATTCGAGATCAAGGCAAGTTGATCAAGGAGAGGAGGGAGGGATTCCACTGATCTGATTTGAGATTTGATCAGCTCTGATCGGTCAGATCTTTGGATTGGATAATGGGAATAGCGAATGAGAGTGATATGGCGATAGCGCGATGGGATGAAAGATATAACGGATAAAATGATGGGCGTGCAACTTTAGAAGATAACATCTAAAGGTGACCTTTGACCTTGGCCGTCGTTATTTTGCATTCATATCGAGTTAGTATTACTATTATTATTATTGTTGTTATTATTATTAATAATTATTATTTATTATTATTATAATTATTATTAGATGTAAACGGTGTGTCAAGGTTATTTAAGAGTCGAGATCAATCGCACAGTCATTATTGGCCTGTGAATGTTTTATGTTTTGTCGAGATTTTTGGCTTTGTTTTTTAATATAGAAAGTGTGTAAGTGTAGTCATATATCTGTGTACTGAACTGTTTAATGAAGTTACTGTAGTATTACTGTATTACTGTTACTGTATAACTGTTACTGTTACAGTATTAATTGTAAGTAAACTGTATTATTGAGGTATGGTGAGTGGATTAGTAATATGGCGGATTTGGTTTGGTGTGATCACTTCAATCCTCGTGTGTTCTGTACAGGCTGTAAGTATTGTTTTTGTTAGTATTGTTATT